AACTATTCAGAGACAAAGTAGATGTAAATGAACACTACTCAACCCAAACCAAAGGAGAAGATTATATATGCAGAGACAATGGAAAACATTCCAATTGGACTTTGACTCATTCTCATGAAAATGGGTCCCTTACATCTCAGAAAAGGATCCACCCAGGAGAGAAGCCATACAAATGCAGAGAGTGTGGAAAGAGCTTCAGCCATAGTGTTTCCCTTACTTACCATAAAAGGATCCACACAGGGGAAAAACCGTATAAATGCATGGAGTGTGGAAAGACCTTTACTAATAGCAGTCATCTTACTTCTCATAAAAGGATCCACACAGGGGAGAAGCCATATAAATGCATGGAATGTGGAAAGACCTTTATTCAGAACATTCAACTTATTTCCCATAATTGGATCCACACAGGGGAGAAGCCATATAAATGTTTGGAGTGTGGAAAAGGCTTTACTCTGAAAAGTCACCTTACTTCCCATAAAAGGATCCACACAGGGGAGAAGCCATATAAGTGCATGGAGTGTGGAAATAGTTTCAGTGAGAGCTGTTCCCTTACATCTCATAAGAGGATCCACACAGGGGAGAAGCCATATAAATGCAGAGAGTGTGGAAAGACCTTTACTCATAGCAGTGAACTTACTTCCCATAAAAGGATCCACACAGGGGAGAAGCCATATAAGTGCATGGAGTGTGGAAATAGTTTCAGTGAGAGCTGTTCCCTTACATCTCATAAGAGGATCCACACAGGGGAGAAGCCATATAAATGCAGAGAGTGTGGAAAGACCTTTACTCAGAGCAGTCAACTTACTTCCCATAAAAGGATCCACACAGGGGAGAAACCGTAGAAATGCATGGAGTGTGGAAAGACCTTTACTCAGAGCAGTCAACTTACTTCCCATAAAAGGATCCACACAGGGGAGAAGCCATATAAATGCATGGAGTGTGGAAAGGGCTTCAGCCATAGTGTTTCCCTTACTTACCATAACAGGATCCACACAGGGGAGAAACCGTATAAATGCATGGAGTGTGGAAAGACCTTTACTCAGAGCAGTCAACTTACTTCCCATAAAAGGATCCACACAGGGGAGAAGCCATACAAATGCAGAGAGTGTGGAAAGAGCTACAGCCATAGTGTTTCCCTTACTTACCATAACAGGATCCACACAGGGGAGAAACCATATAAATGCATGGAGTGTGGAATGGGCTTTACTCAGAGCAGTCAACTTACTTCCCATAAAAGGATCCACACAGGGGAGAAGCCATATAAATGCATGGAGTGTGGAAAGGGCTTGTATGACAATGTATCCCTTATGAGACATAAAAGGATCCACACAGGGGAGAAGCCATATAAATGCATGGAGTGTGGAAAGGGCTTGTATGACAATGTATCCCTTATGAGACATAAAAGGATCCACACAGGGGAGAAGCCATATAAATGCATGGAGTGTGGAAAGGGCTTGTATGACAATGTATCCCTTATGAGACATAAAAGGATCCACACAGGGGAGAAGCCATACAAATGCGTGGAGTGTGGAAAGGGCTTCAGCCAACAGGGTAATCTTACTTCCCATGAAAGGATGCACAGAGGGGAGAAGCCATACAAATGCAGAGAGTGTGGAAAGAGCTTCAGTCATAGTGGTTCCCTTACTTACCATAACAGGATCCACACAGGGGAGAAACCCTATAAATGCTTGGACTGTGGAATGGGCTTTACTGTTAGCAGTCATCTTACTTCCCATAAAAGGATCCACACGGGGGAGAAACCATATAAATGCAGAGAATGTGGAAAGAGCTTCACTGAAAATGCATCCCTTATGAGACATAAAAGGATCCACACAGGGGAGAAGCCGTATAATTGTGTGGAGTGTGGAAAGAGCTTCAGTCATAGTGGTTCCCTTACTTCCCATAAGAGGATCCACACAGGGGAGAAACCATATAAATGTATGGAGTGTGGAAAGAGTTTTACTACCAGCAGTGATCTTACTTCCCATAAAAGGATCCACACAGGGGAGAAGCCATATAAATGTGTGGAGTGTGGAAAGAGCTTCAGTCGAAATGGTTCCCTTACTTCCCATAAAATTATCCACACAGAAGAGAAACCATATAAATGTGTGGAGTGTGGAAAGAACTTCAGGAGGAAGAATGACCTTATTTGCCATACACAGATCCATTTGGGTGAGAATTCATGTAAATTGTAGATTTAGTTGGTTAAATCTATGAATTTCCTGTTTGTGTATACTGAACTGAGTAAGTAAAGGTTTTTTTGAGTGTGACCCTGACAACTGGCAGCCCCAGAGAGATGAAGTTAGCAATGAAAGCAAAAACAATGGGTACATGCTGTTTTAATTGTGAACAATGGATTTTTGAAGATACTGTCATATGAAGGTGGTCAACGCTATAGCACATCAATAAGAGGAAATCTTTTGTTGTTAAGTTTACTTTTATCCCAGTTTCCAGCTGATCATGGTTCTGGGAGAGATGTGAACAGGCAGGCATTTAACAGGTGCTGCTTCCCTAGGCAGTAGAAGGATCTATATCTCCCTGCTGCATCTCTTCAAGACAAAGCTTTATTTGTGTTTCTTCCACTATAGCAGACATGCAGGTAGAAATTCAACTGATTCACAGTCACTTCTTCTTTTGCATAGTATTCCTACAATTGTTTTCCCCTCCGTTTCTCGTTCCTTAATACACTCACCATTCATCAGAGGACCCTCCACTTCTCTGTCCTCCCAGAAAGATGGAAATGGTGCAGCAGAGAGATTCTAGGGTGTGAATCAATATTATAATCTAAATGGAACAAGTCCTATCCAAGTATACATAGTGAGCTGGAATATGGTATTGAATTATCCAATTGAATAACTCTGATATTGAATTAAAAGTGACAAGAGGATTTGTTCTTTAAATTTCTCCTTCCTTCCTTCCTTCCTTCCTTCCTTCCTTCCTTCCTTCCTTCCTTCCTT